TTTCTAGACACATGAGATTACTCTTCTCTTTTTGTTTTGGCAAAGTTACTTATTAGAGACTGAGAAAAATGGGAATACTTTTGATCTCCACAGCTCTTTCCTCTAATATCTTATGGGTTTACACCTGTACCAAAAGCTTATTTTATTTGTCCTGATATGCCGATGGAATGGGCACTGATGAGGAGGGACCCAAACATGTTTGTGGACTCTTCCTGGTTGCCTGCCTATCTCTAATCTGATATCCAGATAATAAACATCCTGGCACCAGGTTCTTCTTTTCTGGAATGTGACTTATCAAGAAAGAGAAAAAAAAAATCCACCAGACATGAAGGGGAAGGATGTTGATCTTTCTGGGACATTACTCAGAATTTTCCTACTTCTTTTATAATTTACTGTTTATTGGTGCAAACAAGGCTGCTCAATATGCTGCTTCCCTCCCTATTCAGTAACTTTTCCTTACAACTCATAAATTATTGCCTGTCAAAAATGCAAATCATAATCAAAACCTACGGAAATTCCTTCTATTTCCCTCAGTGGGATTTAGATGAGAACTCTGTTGAGCAACATGTGTACCCTTCTGTCTCTGATCTAGACCATGTGCCTTCAGAGAAAAAAACAAAAACAAACAGAACAAGGTTTTCAGATATATAATTATCCAGAATTATATAACTGAGTTATATGATGACTACCAGGGTAGAAGTCTGTAACAAAACTTTAGGCAAGTCCTGGCGACACTTAACCCTCCACCTGCAGCCTCCAGATTTCTCAATGGCAATCTGGAGGTCCCGGTTATGAGGGGAAAACAGCAAAAGCCATCTGAGGTAGACCATGCTGTAGTAAGGATGAGATTTACAAGTGGAAATGCATTGCTTCCCTGCCTGAAGACCCACATTAACTCACCCAGAGTCCAGCTGTTGTCCCTGATAGTCAAATCTCCATCAGTGAAATCTACTTTGGGATCCTTCTGATGCTGCCATGACCAATGTAGGTAACTAAGCTGAATCAAAAATAATCTGATCCTGATGGAGATTTTCCAGGTAGTGGCAATCCAAGGGCAGAGGTAGACTATTGATCTGTTTAGTTTCTTTTCATTTTCCATCTCAAATACAGATATTCAGGCATTTTTATGTCTGCCCATGGGGGCCAATGATTACCAGTGCCTCCCCACCCAGCCCAGGTGTTTTTGGGCAGGAGCTGACCTTAGTGGGGACCTGGCTGTCGTAAAGATGGCAGCTCATCCATCACAGCCTTCGCAGCCTGTCAGCATTGCATTTAATCTCACTTGTAATTTTCCAGGAGAGGTTTGCAAAAGCCACAAACAGAATTCTAATGCTGTATAATGAGGTTTGTAGCCAGTGAATGCTTCCCAACAGAAGGAAGCTCGGCTGTGTTCTATCTGCCCTCAGCTATGCAGAGATGGGAAATTCCCAGTTCAGCCTACAATTCCATGTGCTGTTCACATGCTATTGGAACAGGTATATCTTTTCTAGACAGGATTCAGTTAAATGTTGTCACAGCTATATCTTTCCTCTCAACTCACATGTGCTCTCAGAAATGGGCTCTCAGAATCCTGCACTTTACAAAAATAGACTTTTCCAGCTGCTGACACATGGTATCCATGAGGCTTCATTCCCCTTTTATGGATTCGGAAGATCTTGCTCATTCATTGTACTGCAAGCTTCAAGTCCTTCTGTAAATCCTGATCAAAACCCCACCCAGACAATCACAGTTTTTAAAAGTTTGAGCCAAATTCAGGAAACTTCTGTCAGTTTCTTCTTTCAGCTCTGAAATTTTCATTCTTCATTATGCTCACTATACCTATCTTCCAACTTCATTCACTTCATGAGGTTTACCAGCACAGAAATGAGCTAAGTTGGAATCAATATGACCAGAATTGTACTCTTGGAAACAATGCCAGATTCAATCAAGAAGGGTTACTCTAAGGATGAGACATAAAGCTCTGACTCCCAGATATATATTCAATGGAATGACCTCTCTCCCTGACCTGTCTGTCCGTGTCATGCTGACAGATCATATCTTTCACTGATGCAGACCCATGGAAGCTGCAATTTGTCAACAAGTCCCTGGGCTGGGCAGATCTGGAATGGATTTCTATGATATAGTTTCTCTTCTGGCAATAAGATGGGAACAGGCTAAATCCCTGGAATTATGTGGGCCTCAGTCACCTCATCAAGCTTTATCCCTTGTTTCTAATTCCATAGGTGTCTAGCCCCTTGACCGAACGATGAACCAAGAGAAAAATGTCTGTTTTTTCTCTAGACACCTCTTTATATTTACAGATTCTTCAGCAAACGGATTAGTTAAATTACTATAGCTATATTCATTGGTGCTGGAAGCAGTAATGATAATTATTACAATGTTATATTTAAAAAAATTATGTTTGCATCCTTGAAGCTGAAAAACATCAGCGAATCATCCTGAAATTGTTTGTGCCAGGTGTCCTCCTTATGCTGAATTAGCTCTTAAAATTTTGCCGAAGCAGTTAATCAGTTCCTGAGGGCAAGATTTAAGAAAAATACTGTGCTTTGAAATGAACTATTGCCATTAATAATGTTAATGCTGTTTCTTTAATTTGGCAGGAAACTGGAGTCCAAAACAAAACTTTTCTTGCTTTTTAAAGAAAATCAGCCAAATTTGGCCAAGTCTCTAACCTCCAGCCACAAAGATATTGGGAGGAAGTTTTTTCTGCACGATTTAATTCTCCTGAGTATTCTCCATTTCTCACAGCTCTTAGAAGTCTTGTTTCATTACAGAGCATAGCATGTCTTCCCTGCAGTTATTCTTCCTTGTTGGATGGATAAAACATATTTTTAGTCCTAGAAAAGAAAACAAAAAGAAAGAAGTGGAACAAAGGAGGAGCAAAGTGGGGTGAAGACTAGAAATTCACACAGAAAAAGAATGTGCAATTTTTATATTTGAGTAGTATTGTGCTGAAACCCTATTATACTTATGACCTTGCCATTATTGGACACAAGGATATTTCAGTTCATGTTGATTTTTCCTTCCTTTTAGGCAATGAATGGATAAAATCCTCATTGAAACTGCATCTCTGTGCAATGATTTGCTTAGAACTGCAGCATCTTTAACAATTTTAAATAAAAACATCCTCATTCAGCTCAAACAAGGCATAGCAAGGAAAAAAAAATATTATAAAATCCAAAATAAACCAAAATAAACGTCTCCTATCCAGACAATCAATTTCTCAGTGGTGCCCAATAGACATATTGAATCATGCATTTTGCTTACACAGCTGCCCAGAGAAAAACAAGGACCATATTGCTACCCATCTCTTTTTGCAAAAGGCTGGCAATTATAGTGCTTGGAAAGTGGTAACCATCTTTCATTGTGTCAGTAAGTATTATTCAGGTTGGCATACAACCTCCCTGCTTGCCCTCACAATACTCTTAATTAAATTAAGATTGTACCTGGAGCAGAGAGGCCTGATCCTTGCAAATGCTACAAAGTTTCTGGCTCATGTAAAGGTGATGTTGAGGAATTCTGGGGTCTGTGTTGTGCAGGTACATGCTCAGTGCAGATTTACCTCCAGGCTGGAGTGAACCGATTTTCTATTTCATCCCAAATCCTGTTTCTCACCGTGTCCAGCCTTACAGATAGGTGGAATAAATGCAATGAGGTGGTGTCATAATTTAATCATAAAGGGCATTTTATTTATGGTAGGTATGAGAGAGTGTGCTTGTATCTTAACTCACAGGGTTTTATTTCCCTAATAAAGATAAATGGCATTTTGGGTTCATGAAGCTAGAAATCAGAAAAAAAACCCAAACAAAAAACCAAATAAAAAACAAAGCACCATGTGGTAGACAGTTTCCATAGCTTATTGTGTAGCCTTTCACAAGGCCATCTCAAAGTACGGTTTTGCCTTTTCAAAGGATGTTTGGAAAGTGACTTGAATAAATCATGATATGCAAATATAAATAAAAACAAAGCCTGGGATTTCTGACCTAGAATTTGAATATACACCATACATGCAATTCATATAATTCATTTATTCAGATTTATGTCCAAATACTGAAAAGAAAGGACAGTATATTGTCTGGCAAGCTGGGTTAACATGTAGAAGTTCACAGGGTTTGCTCTGTGTTTCTGTGTTTTGTTGTGGCCTTCCTGCATGCTACTGGATGAGCTCTCAGAGTGAGAGCAGTGGCAGCCCTTATGATAAGCATTTAAGCTCTATTTGATGAACACATTAATCAGCACACTGAGCACCCTTCTATTTAGCAGGCTGGCAGGTCAAATGCCAAGACTTTGCCAATGTGGAAATTTTGGAAAAATGATCCCTGCTTCAGAAATCAGTGAAAAGAGCTGTCTTGTTTCCCTCTAGGCTCGTGCAGTTCCTCAAAATACAGACACATTTCCCATGTGTTCCACAAGAGTATACAAGGCCACTTAGGGAAGATGAGCTTAAAAACAAATGTATTTTGGACCTTCATACAGCTCAGGTATGAGCTCAGTGATAGAATGACAGGCCTGCAAAGTCCAAAACACCCCAAGATATGCTCAGAAATTAATGTGACTGAAAAATATTAGGATATGAAAGCTGGTGTGCTTAAAGAGTCAAGTTGCCTCCAGGATTAGGTTAATGCTCAACAAGGATTTTCTAGGGCCTTAATTCTGTGTAAGTCTTTCAAGTCATCCATTCCAGCCTATAGAATAAAACCAGCACTGTCAAACCAAAGGATTACTGTACTAAAGAGAGGAAATACATGGAAAAAATTGATGCATCAGAATTAGGGACATAATATACCAGAGCAAATGAATATTACCAGCCTGCTCTTTTCAAATACCTCATGAATTCAGCCTGATTCTTTCACCCTTGAATCTTATCTGTTGGATGCTGTCAGAATATTTTCCTGGTCAGTGATTTGCAGGATCTAAGTCAGACAATGTATATTGCAATGTTCTCATGTTGAATAATGTTTTGTGTGTTAGGCAATATTTATGGAATTTTTTCTTTGTAGGTCTCAACTGAAGAAGGAATGAGCTTAGCCAGAGAATATTCCTGCTCCTTTTTTGAGACTTCAGCTGCCCTCCGTTTCTACATTGATGATGTCTTTCATGGACTAGTGAGGGAAATTCGAAGGAAAGAGTCCTCACTGTCCATGATAGAGAAGAAGATGAAGAGGAGGGATAGTCTGTGGCGGAAACTGAAGGGATCCCTGAAGAAAAAAAAGGAAAGTACAACCTGATGGCAATTCTCCATGAGCCCCTCATCAGGAGCTGACCACAGTAACCTGTAATAGTTCACAAAGGCAGCATTGATACAGCATCTTCCAGGCCACGTCCTGGAGTTCCTCCCCTTCAGCTCTCATGCAGAAGTTGCTCCTTGAGAGCTCAATTCATGGTTTCCCTGTGACTCTTCTGTTCTATAGTGCCATTTAGCATACCCTCTCATATCTTTTCTGCAACTCTGAGTGGAGAAAATACTGTGTTTTAATGTGTGCTCCATGGCTGGTCCTCAAATGCTATGAGTTATGCCAGCATCCAAGGCAGAACCAGCTTCCACCAGCTCTAGGACAATGGATACACTTATTGCCTCCTCTTCTGCATGCACAGGTCATTTCACCATCCCAGGAATGACTGACGTTGATTTTAATGGACGTTTTGACTTGTTTAAGGACTTTGGGATGTGACCTTCAGCTTTGCATTGACATGTAGGTTTAGGGTTAGAGTGTGCTCGGCCTGCACGCCCGTGTCTGTGTGTGAGTGTTTCTGTGAGCCTGGCCCAAAGGGAACGCTGGGGACTCACAATTCTGACCCCGTGGTGCCCCATCCCCATTGTGTCCTGTCCAGTTAGCAGGTAGGTTTTGCAAGCAGAATACGAGTCATGCACCAGCCCAGCAGAGGCTGTCTCCTCTGATCTGTACTTGCCAGGGCTGGCTGGCAGAGGAGCCAATTTCTACAGACATGCTGTGCATTAAAATCATACAGAGTTTGTGTTGGAAATGAAGTTTTAATGGTCACCTGGTGGAAACACCTGCAGTGAATGGGGATACCTTCAACTCGGTCAGGCTTCTCAGAGTCCTGTTCAGCCTGACCTTGAATATTCCAGGGATGGGGCATCCACCAGCAATCTGGGCATTCTGTGCCAGTGCTTCAGCATCAGCCACAGTCCCCTGTCCCATGAAGAAGCTCACAAGTGCTCTGTCTGTCTGATGAGTCCCAGAGCCCTCTCTGGAGCAGTGCAGCTCTGTCCCAGCATGCAATAGCATCTGTGATGTAGCATCCAGCCCCTGACTTACTAGAGAATTGCATCAGCTCAATCACCATTGCTCACAGTCCTTGACCATCCAACTCAACCACTTGACTAAGCACTTGGATAAGTCTTTTTAAATATTCCTTTTCAAAGCTGGCATGAAGTAGAGTATATGCTCCTAAGCATTTTTTCACCCCTGGAGTTCTTTTAATGTTGTTGCTATTTATAAATTTTACAGATAGAATATGCATAAGTTTTGTCAAAAATAAAGATTGTGATTTCAATGGAGCCATCCTAGTAGTCAGTGTCATTTGTGTCCATCATGGATTGATAACTGATATAACAAAAAATATGTATCTGTGTTATTAAATGTTCCTTTTTCACCTTTTTCACCTTTCTTCTGTGAAGTTTTGCAGTTTCAACCGATTATATTTTGCATAGTCTGGGTCGGAGTAGATTTGTTTTCCTCTGTAAAACTTGGAAAGGTTATGATATTGTGAATAACTTTAGTTCATTAAAATCTGACATTTTTTTCTCCACTCTCCCTTCCTTTCAAGGGAATCTGGAGACATTTTGTGACATGTCAAAAATCCTTCATCAAAAGTAATGCTTTGCTATACGTTTTTAGGTACCATGTGGCTATATTTCTCTTTGAGAAAGATTATTTTGGAGGAATACAAATACAGATACCCATTAAAGTTGAATTTTCTGTTTCCTGCCTCTGGAAGCTGAAGTCTGCATTTATACCATTGTAATTACTATTATTATTTTATCTATATTGCCACAGAGATTTTAGGTCAAGTGTCCTAGAGACAAAAAGATACACTTGCCCAAAGAGTTTATGAGCTAAGTATAAGGAGGGACAATGAGAGGCTGCACTGAACAGATGGTAGCTATGAGACAATAAATAACAAGGGGAAACATCTGTGTCTGTTCCAATCCTGCATACTGCATAGAGGGGAACAAAGAAGTCATTCCCTGTGTTAGAGAGCATAGAAATTACCACCCTGAGAAACCTTGAGGGATGGTCTTTGATTTTTTTGGACAGATGCCTGAGTTTTGAGTCAATTGAAAATCATTTAGTGTTGGTTATGTCATTTCACTCCTCCCCCCACCACACACACACTTAGGTATGTATAATATCAACATGGACTTGGGTCTGTATTTTTAGGGGTACCTTGGTTCAAATCCGTTTGTAGGACTAAGAAAGTTTGCAGAAGACAGCATAGATACAGCCTAATATTAATTCTTAAATGGATTAACTTGATTAAATATGACTTCACTAGCATTAAGATCATCTGGCAGAGAGCAATGTCTTTCCATATTGTTAAACTCTCTTAGCCTTCACAGCAGTGTTACCACACACAAGCTGCTCTTGGAAGTGATTTCTGGACTGTGCCAGGTTCTGCACCATGCTGATCAATGGGTCAAAAAAAGTGCTGCTCTTCTGTGGTCTGAAGCCAGGATAGGTATCATTCTAAGGTTTCTCAGTATGGACATGCTCAGGTGTCTCCTGGGATATGTTCAAATTTGTACAAACACAGGCTGCAATCATCACTTCTTCAGGTGTAGCAAGCCCATGAGAACTCCAGGTTCTGCATGTCTTCACAACCATCCCCAAAATGCTCATTTTGAAAGGTATTTGGTACCAGGTTAGTCTCTTTGGGAAGAATGAGGTCTCATACCCTCCAAGGATATTCTGCTACATCTTCTATGAGCATTTCAGGCATTGAATATTTCTTAGGCAGAAAAGTCTGTATTTATCTCACTCCACTTTGATTATGTAGAACTTGAGGATGACTGGATCTGAATGATCCAGTCATTCAGATCCCCTCTCTGGTTAATACAGAGAGAAAATTTGGTGATTTTTCCTGTATGGCATGGATGGTTAGCATATGGTGAATCCCCCCTGAACTGGCAGTCTCTTTCCAGTGACTATATTTCATTCCACAAAAAACAGCCCAGTCTCCCAGCTAACACTTTGATGTCTACATTCATATGGGATAAACCCCATCTGTAAAGATTTTTCCGCTCAATAGCAACTGTAGAGAATAATTCTGCAAATGCTAGGCATTGAGCTTCATCTCTGAAACACCTCACCATCCTTTACTTCTAAATTGGGAAAGTAATTCTGATTTACCATGACTGAATTGCTCAATAATCTATAATGCTTAACCTCAGTTAATTGAGCAGAGCTGATGGAGGTTAGAGTCAGTGAGGATAACATAAGTCATAACTGCACAAGGGGCTGGGTGCAGCTCCTTTACCTAATTAATCATTTTGATTCCATCACAGAAGATTTTACTTAGCTGTCAGACCTAGCTGAGAAAATTAAAAAACAGCAGTTCTGTGTCTGAAGACATTTCTGTATCTGACTATTCTCTCTCTAATTGTGTCTAGAAGATTTGAAGAAGGAAACAGATCACTTTATTTTGTTGTGTTGTCTACGGTCCCATGAAGGTGGCAGCTATAAATTATTCCACTGTCAGACCATGTTGCAATTGGACCGTGATTCAGGTTCCTACAGAAATATAATTAAAGGCAGCTAATAAATAAAATAAAGTAATAACAATTTGCAAAAGTATACTTGGTATCTCTCACAAATACATAATATATGGCAGTTGATTATCCTTCTTCACAGCTGTGGCAGATCACATGTTGCCTCTAATTGAGGAGTGGTCTGGGAAGGCTTTAAGTCAAGGTGGAAAATTTCAGAACTTAAGTTATCCTTTACAGATGGCTTTTGCACACCAGCCTTAGAACTTTTGTGCAGAATCCTCCTGTGTTCCCTCAGACTGGCAGTTCACAACTATGTTAGCAATCTGATGCCTTTACAAGTAATTGAAAATATTTTCTTTACACACCCAAAAATGTCCGTTTTGAGACTGAGATGTAAGAATGCATAGATGTAAGAATGAAACAAATTATCTTTATTTTGTCCACTAAATATATATTTTATATATAAATATATAGGAAATATACATACACTATAATATATATAGTTTCTGGATGTTTTTTTATTTGTATGCTTAGATATTTGAGCCTTCTCTCTATCATGACAGATAGGAAAAAATCAAAAAACAAAACAAAACAAAACAAAATAAAAATAATGCAGGAAGCAAAAGATGGGGCTGAGCAGAACTTAGTGTCTCATAGTGAAGATTTAGGCTCCACAACTGTGTCAAATTCTTCTCCCAAGTTGAACATTTCTCTTTTTCATCACCCAGATGTGATATTTGTAACAAGAAAAATAGCTTCAAGTGGGTCTTCTTCCAGAAACAGTAAATAAAGGTATCCACTGCAGTAACCTCAGAAGGTGACACTGAAATAATGATGAGTGTTAAACTGAAAATTGTTCATGTATTTCATATAAATCACAAAAATTTTATGGTTAGCTCCTAGAGCTAACCTTAAGCACTAGTGTTGGCCTAAATTTGTACTAGCAATTGAAAGAGGGATGTCTAACGTAGACATTTATGCTAATATAATTCTATTAAGTATACTTACAGCAGTTAGCCATATTTAGATATTCCCTTTAGGGACTCTTATTTATGCAACTGTGCATCACACACTGCTCATTGCTTATGACTCAAAAAAAACCCCTGAAAATTAGCAGAGACATGGAAAAATACAGAATGTGACTTAAATGCAATATGAAAATAACTGTTCTCATAACTTTTAATGGCAGTTGAATGGAATAGTATCTTAGACCAGATCAACCTCCTTCTTGGTACCATTTCTAGCTTGATCTGTCCCTTCAAGCTTGTGGAGTTAGGATGTCTGCCTGGCAAAATGATTTGTAATGGGGATGGCATTGTCTCACAGACGCTGTGAAAGTCACCCCAAGAGGCATTGCCCTGCACCTCTAGCCTGATTTATCACTCCCTGATGCTCTTGGTTCTAAACCTCCTCAATTTGAGCTCTCCAATTTTGTTACATCGCACTGAATTATGGGGTTGTTTTGTGATGAGGACAAATGTCCACTCAAGAGCA